GTTCACATTATGGTATTTAAATTGCCACAATATTGACGTAAAAGTAAAAATTATTACACATTTACTGATAAAACGAAATAAAAATCTTCCATAGTCTGGACAATAATGAAAAAAGAGAGTAAAAAGAGTTCAGCTCTTATCTTTACAAGAGTTAAATATTCGACTATAAAGCCAATAAGAGACTTCCCCCGCCTAGAAGACAAATACTTTTCCATTTACACATACCAGCATAAAGAAAGGTATACCATAACCTAGCATGAAGAGCGATAGGCATCTTAGGATGAAGCTGTTTACACGGTTTATTATCTGTGAAGAGGATTTTTTTTCTTATTCAGTCGTTATTTCATTAACTTTAAGCACACAGACAGCAGCAGGTATTATTATATTGCTGGTACTTTAAGACCTAATGCACAGATCCAATGTATTGACACATTTTCTCCCAACGGTTTACATTCACTGACTGTTGACATGAACACTCACAAAGATGACAATTTTGATAGAAGCAGCATACAGCCTCAGGCTTCAGAAAAGCTTCTAAGAGACATGTCCCTGTCTTCACTTACTGATCAGAGAGGAAAAACGTGCTCAGTGTTTGACGTCCTCTTGAGGTGAACATCGATTCTCCTCATAGTTACCAAGTGCGATTCTTTTCAGCAATTTCCAGGGTGTTCAGCTGGCTCACTCTAATATACAGCATGATGAAAGGCTTTACTGTGGAGAACTGAATCTAATAACGGAGTTGTGATTTGCTAAGGCATGATTTATGTTTTGTTAATTTCTCTGAATGGAAAGAAGCAATTAGCCTTGTTCATTTTCGTTTTTCTCATCCTCATTTTATTGGCCAAAGGCTGTTTATTGTCTGTGTGTATGGTGATTGGGACAGTTTAAAATAGCCGTCACAGCTGTGCTCATGAAAAGAGACTGTATTGGTTTCCACGGCGACCGTGTGGAATCTCATTACCCGAGGCTGATTGTAGAGCCATGAGGCAACCACACTATGATTGACAGAGGACGAGATCATGTCACGTTTACAATAGACTCATGCTCATATATATGTTCCCTGGAGGTGATGAGGTCTGGGATTTGTTTTGCGCTACCTAATTAACCGAGTAGTTTAGTAAAATAGAGGGCACATTGAGTGCGTCTTTACTTTACCGCTGCCGGTTATTGGCTTTGGATTAAATATGTTCTATGAGATGCTTCAGGAAAGTTATAACAAAACCTAACGCAAAAGTGTTTCTGTGGTTTGTGAAGCTTTGGGAGATTTTTTTTAATAACAGAAAAAATTAAACGCAAAGGTATTATAATGTTGCTAATTAATAATAATAATAATAAAAATATATATATATATATATTTATATATTGTTTATATTTTTATGAGCTTGGTTGCTTGCTTGTTTGCTTGGATGGCACATCACTGGGCTCGACATATCAACGCTTGTCCGGGATAAGTGGTTGTTTTTGAAGGGACAACTAAGTAAAAGAGAATTTTACTTCCCCGACAGGACAAATAGCCTGATTAAAGCTTTAGTGATAAAAGATACCTATACGGAAGCATCTAAATGTGAGAATGATTAAGGTTTTATTACATTCACTGTTAAGGCTTGCGCTGCCTGTCTCTTTGCGAGAGACTTTCAGAGAAATCAAAACAAATGAGTGTAACTGCATAAAGAAACTCAAAAAAGTACAAATCTATGTAAAAATATATTTAATAAACTCATATTCAATTTATTTATAACACATGATATAGTTAAGTAACACAGCACAACACGACAAATTTATTTATGATTTTCTTCTAAAATATAAAATTTATGAGTAAAACGCATAATCTTTGCCTTTGGAAATGTAACTTAGTAAGAGTATAAGTATTCCGTCTCATTATTCCTCTGGTGAAGTACAAATGACCCTAAAAAAATGAAGTATAATTACTCATATACTTTACACCCCTGTCCCCTGCCCTACTTTAAATATCTGTTTTTAGGCATCTCATAGCTCATAGAAGCCTCCGCTGCAAGTGCAAGTGATTCATGTCAGGTCAGTTGCGAGAGCTGTGATTTAAGAAAAGAACAACACAGAGGTCCTGGTGTCAGATGAGCCGGGTGATGCTTAGAGGAAGAAATAGAGGCGTTATTGATCTGTTAGTCACAAACCATCTATCTTCTCTCCCCCCTTCCACCACCTCCTCCCATTTGAGCTGTTGAGAGTGACGGAGGAAGAGCAGAAAGTGCCACTCCAGCAGAAAAAAAAAATGCTACAAATCACAGTGTGAACCCATTGGCTCCTCTCACATTAATACATTCAATTGGACAATGCCAAAGTTGCTAACTGGGCTAGTCAAAAGCAAGTTTGAGTCAGATTCATGATGTATTTATTTCAGTTCTATCTAAAATTAAAAATGTCCAGTCTTACAGAGGACATGGGCGTGGCTAAGTGTAGTACATTTTGATATAGATATTCAAATCATAATCATTTGTATAAATTAGGTTTGACATGATTTTGTATACTGCAATCAGAAACTATTAAGTAAGTAAAAAGAAAAGACTGCTCATTTTCATTTTTCAAAAGTTATATGCTTATAAATTGTATGCCTTCAAATTTCACCCTTGAACAAGTTACATAACCTGCATTAACTGTGACCGTCCACAACAGAAAATAGTTGAAGTAATGTTTTTTTTTTTTTTTTTGTCGGCATGAAATCAAAATTGACATCATTTACTTCAATGCAAATTATAATTGAACAAATAACCCGCGCAAGTTAGTACACTGAAAGGAAATCTGAAAATTTGCTTCCATGCGGGAATGGTGTTTCCAGTCTGATGTCGTCTTGGGTTGAATATCCTTAACCACTCCTCTCCGTCAGTCTGCTATGAGCGAGAGATTGAGAGGAGGTGTGCTAAAACAAAACCCTGCCCACTATTCAATATTTCATTTCACTTTGAAATAAATCACAACAATGAATTGAATTCGTTCGCAACTTCTAGTTAACTAGGACTTTAATTAACACAAAATATATTTAGCTGTGTTACACAAATCTTGACAAATGAACTTGAATGTCTACTATAGAGTGTTGACCCTGAAAAGATGCTGCTGAATGCAGAGGCCCTTGATTCGTGAGCCGTACGCAGTTACATAATATTGCATAATACCATAATTGCTATGAAGGAGGTTCTGCTTTTGGGGCCACATGAGTTTTGTTTAAAGAGCACCTATTATGCTTTTTTGTGTAATATAGCTTTTTGTGCATGTAAACGATCTGCAAAGTTACAAAGCATAAAATCCACTTATTTCCATGACTTAGCTACGTCACCATGTTTCACATTTGCTCCTTTGGCCCACCCTTGAAGAACAGTTCTTGACTAAGTGTTTTTGATATGGTGAGGTGATGCTTTTTATTTTTCTTTCTCACTTGTATGGACTTCCAATAGCGACACCATAGTTATGATAGATATAATACTTTTACGGCTGCTCGTGAAGTCTCAGAAGCTGAAACATGGTTACGGTAATAGCCGTTACATGTCAAAAGTGTGTTCTAAGCAGTTGACCAGTCACAACAGACTGGGCCAGTTTACCAATCACTAGAGACTGGGCATTTTGGAAAGCCTGTCTGACATGAACAAAAACAGAGTGTTTTAGGCAGATGGTAAAAGAGGTGCTGCATCAGTGTATAGTATCTGAAAAATAATGGGTTTCTTTTAACTTTGAATCATGTAAATATATTCTAGCACTGCCTAAAAATAAAATTATGTTGTAAATAAGCATAATAGTCTCTCTAATTCTGAGCTGTGTTGTCAAGAAATGACTTCCAACCATTAATTTATTAAATTCTTTGTCAGATGTAGGGTGCAGGTGACTTTCTGTGTGTGAGAGCATGGTGGAAAAATTTTCGGAGCAGAGTACCCAGAACTTCAGATATAAGCACTTTTGGGTCAATACTGAAAAAAAACTTGAGACTGCAGTAAGGGAGAGGAATCTGCTTCTGAAACGGCATAATTATTGTTCTGTTTACAACCTTTCACATGATGAGTGTTTTAATATTTGCTTTAGTTAACAAAGTACATTGAACCAGAAGCATATCCTGCTTGAGTAAATTGCATATTGACATAGACAATACATCTATTTTATTGTCTTTTAACAGGTTGAAATGTTGAAATGATATCATTCAAACGGGATATATCTGACTGAGCTTGCTTTCGTTTGTATTTACTTTGAGGCATGTGCTCATGGGCAACACACAAGGAACACAAATGGCAAATCCATGTGGTGAAGACACAGTTGGGCTCCAATCCTTTAGCTTATCTGTGCGTTTGTGCGTGTGTGTGTGTGTGTGTGTGTGTGTTTACATTTTCTGCTGAGCCTTCTGTCAAGATGTGTTAGAGAAGACTGCATAGGCTTGGCTTGTACAGTGTGCTTTGTTTTAACTGTATAGTTTGTTGTTAGAAAAATATGAATGGTACTGCCAAACACAAAACAGTTTTGGAATAAAAATGATATTTTAAGGAAATTATGTACCAAAATGGTGGCAAATATTTTTTTAAGAAAATGTTTTGAGCAAAATAGTTTTGTATGGCTGCAGTCATCGACTGAAACAGTGATGTTTAATTAGCATTTATCTGACAAAACAGTGAATATTTTGTGCACACAACGTGGATAAGCTACAACAGATAAATATGTCAGTGTGGACGTTCGTAATTTTGTAAAATTATTGATTGACAACCAGAAATCCGCTCAGAGTCTACAAATAATCTGACCAGCATCTTGTCAGTAAATTTTCATTTGTTGCCATTTAGCCTAGAGATGGTACAGAGACAGTCTGTGATATTTCAGGACACCATTCCAGTGATACTGTCAAGAAATGGGGATCTTTTCTGACTGCTGATCCCTTAAAAAATAACTTAAAGCACTTTTAAGCTTTGCAGTAGTGCAAAAGGCTTTAGTTTCACTGCAGTGTAGTTGTTGTGTGATGGATTACATCTATAATGTTCAATCTTACTCTTCTCCAGACCCCATTCGTGCACACCACAGACCGCAATGATTGGACACTGCCTTCCTCGATCGTTCAACTCCTAGTTCTGCTTCACCTGGTTGAACGACTGCCTGCCTGAGAGCTGATCGTTGCTACAGTTGCCATGACTTAGAAACATTCCTGATACAGAGATGGAGAAAAAGAAACCGTGTCCCCGCCTCCTGGACTACCTGGTGGTAGTTGGAGCCAGGTAAGCAAGATTGTTCAGTGGTGTGTGGGTGTTTTTATGTGTGCTTCTATGTGCTTAAGTAAATTGCAGAAGAATTGAATCACAGGTGAACTGATTGTTTTGTTAGTACATGGCCTGTGCAGGTGTGTTCCAGGTCAACGGTCTCAGCTGTACGCTGTCAGTTAATGTTAAGGTTAAGGTATATTTTATTGTCCCATAGGGGACATTTGTACAATCACTGCATCACCTAAAACAAATAGTAAAATGACAAAACACAATACACTATACACACACAATACAATAACACGTAAATTAGAAAGAGGAAAGAAAAAAAATACTAATTTCTATTTAATAGCTTAATGTTAAAGGTAGGCTTGGCAATTTTCAGAGTGCAAGCTAGATTTGAAAGCATATGATCCCACCCTTTTTACATTTTTCTTTTTGAAAATATTTTAAAATGTAATTTATTCCTGTGACGTCACAGCCTATTTTTTGTCATAATTTAAGTCTTTACCATCACTTTTGATCAATGATTCTAACTGAGCCCAAACATTTAGATGGCAGTGTATAACAACTGTACAAAGTGCATAAAAGAACAAGCACTTGGGCTGAGATCTGTCTTCCTGTCTCTCACCTTACCTTTTCCCAATCAGGCAACCCAGCAGCGATAGTGTGGCACAAACACCTCAGCTGCTGAGGCGCTATCCGCTGGAGGACCACAATGACTTTCCTCTGCCCCCTGACGTTGTCTTCTTCTGCCAGCCTGAGGGCTGCCTTAGCATCCGTCAGCGCCGGGTCAGCCTCCGCGACGACACGTCTTTTGTCTTCGCTCTCACCGACAAAGACTCGGGCATCACCCGCTATGGAATCTGCCTCAACTTTTACCGATCTTTCCAGAAGGGCCACCACCGCCCACGATCTGAAGGGAAAGGTCAGAGCTTATAGCAGTTTTATGAGTCATAAACATTTTATCATCCTAATTCAATTGATTAATGTCCTGCTTTTGCTAACTAACCATTTGTAACCCATCTTGAACATCACATATGGCTGACAGGGTGCAGTCACTACATCATTTGTCTTTAATATTTGACTTTATACAGGAGAAAGGGCCCCTCATGCAGACTCTGCAGTGGAGGCCACAGAGAAATCTGACCCCTCTTCATTGACACTTCCAGGGGAATCTACAGTTCCCCCTGCAGGAGATGGGGCTGTGCCACCAGGCGAGCCGGGCGGCATTGGAAAATCTCCACGAGCCAAACGCAGTGGCCGACTGGCACCACAGAACCGGAACAGCACGTTAATGTCTCTGTGTATTATTAGCCACTACCCTTTCTTTTCTACGTTCAGAGAGTGTCTGTACATCCTCAAACGCATGGTGGACTGCTGTAGCCAGCGGCTCAACCAGAGACCCGGTGCTGCCAAGTCCACACAGCGGTGAGAACAGCCTTCTTTGCTCTTTTCTGTGGATCATGTAGTTCTGTAACTCGACCCTGAGATTCAGCAAGATAATACTTGAGCACAGAAGCGATGCCTTAAAAAAAAATACGCAATGTTTTGCAATATCTTACAGTATGTGTGAGTGTCAAATACTGCAACATAACAACTGGCAACATTCTGCCTCTCTGTTTACAAGTCTGCATGCATTCCATTTTGATTTACTCTTTTTCGTTCACACAAAAAATGAAATTCTAGTGATGAAATGAAATTGAAATCTAGGTTGAAATCTGAAATCGGTTTTGTTACTGTTTTAATATTAGTCAATTGCATGATTAAACTAACTTACCTCATTTGATTTTACAGTATCATAGATGCTTAAAAAAAAATTCAACTGGAAAATAAAATATCTCATCTGGCACTTTTTCAAATCTGGCTAATCGTGAAACATGAGAGAACCCATTGTTTCTTCTTGACCTGACCTTAGACGTTGGTATTGCACTTTAACCAACAAAGAACTTATCGTATAATTGAGCAATTTGAATATGAAAGAATTGTGTTTTTTTGGGGGTGTATTACCTCCTTAAATACGTTATGTGGGAATACCATCTAACAACGTAGGCTCTACGTTGTTAGATCCTGTATAGTGTTGTAACTAATTAGAATGATGAGTAACAAGGTGCGGATGATTTTATAAAAGGAAATCACAAGTGGAAGGATGTACGACAGCCCTTTGACTCAGAAAGAGGGATGAGTGAGTAAAGGAGTATGAAGATGAGTGTTGGTGTGACGGGGGCTGTGATTGTGTGAAGAAGAGAGGGGCTGCTTTTTTCCCCCCGAAGGGCTGTGCAATGTGCAAGCGGCCTTGCAGCGTTATTCTCCACACAGGAGTGGTTTTAACTAGACCTCATTCACATATCACAGTGGTAACGGCTGTAACTAAATACTTGAGTGTCTATTGGTAAACAATCTATACGATTGCACTCTGCTGCAGATCAATAAGCATTGAGTAGAAGGATTTTTATCTCTGATTTTCTCAGCAAAGCTTATTCTTGTGTAACCTAGCAACCACATCCACCATGAGCCACAGTCGCGCTCGCAGGCCTCAATTTGTTTGCAGTTGAATTGTCCTGCCAAACCCCTTTTATTTGCTTTCAAGTGTGGAGAATAATTTAACCAGTACAGCAGCCTCTGTTGAGTGTTCAGCTGTAGTGAAGTAGTTCATATATTCTATGTAGATGCATTTTTCTTCAGTGTTTTTATCTTTTTCTTGCTCATTCAGTTGAATTCTGATCATCTGTATTTCAAATTTACATGTTTATTAAGCTTTCATGGCTGACTGGAAATGGAGTATTTCTACAATGGCATCTGTGACTTTAGCTTTTGCCTGATGCTACATTTACATTGCTAAGTGTTAGTCCATAGTCCATAGTTAGTGGTAGTTTGTATTTGTCAATAATCATATTATAAAGACCCATTCACACACAGGAAGTCCACACCACAGCTGCAACTATAATGACTCCCAACATTATTGGACATTATCATTATAGTTGTGGCCTAGTTTGAATGGGCCTTAAAATGAATAGTTGACCAATAACCAACCATCTTGACTGTAGATGAAACAGAATCAGAAAGTAATGATACAGGAGGAATCTGATTCTGAGTGTTTAAGGTTGTGACACACCAAGTTAACAGTCAACCAATGTATGGCCATCAATGAGCGTCTGTCTAAGCTAGTTTTTGCCGTGTGTTCCACACATCGGCTGTAATCAGGCCCGTCGATGACAGTTCGGCCGATTCGGTGTGGTGAGAGAGTCAGTGCGTGAATGAGAATAAAAGTGAAACTATCGAAAGCCAACAACGAAGTCATCATACATCATAGCAAAGAAGTCATCTTACCTGAGCATTCCAATATACGAATACTTACATATCAACATTAGCTGCCTGGAATGTAGAAAGTTTTCAACATGATTTAAGTTCAAAATGGTAAGCAAGCATTGCATTGTTGACGGTTTGTATAGGCCTATCTGCGGTCCTAGTTTAAGTTTCCCTATTTAAATGGCGAATGTAGAAGAGCTGCTGATAATACAGTTATTACTTACAGGCAGAACGTATGTGCTGGTTTGCAGTAATCTTTGCTGTGTTTTCAAGTACAGATTTTTGTCCCAGACACAGTAGACGCGAGGCGACAATTTCAGTCATGAAAGGAGACATAAAGCATGAATCTGTTTGTTTATAAAAATCAATCAAACTTAAAGCTATTGGAAATATCAGCGCATAATCGTGCTCTTGACAATCGTAAACAATTACTTTACATTTATTCATTTAGCTGACGCTTTTATCCAAAGCGACTTACAATTTCAGAGGTCGCAAGCCTCTGGAGCAACTAGGGGTTAAGTGTCTTGCTCAAGGACACATTGGTGTCTCGCAGTGGATTCAAATCTGGGTCCCTCACACCAAAGGCATGTGTCTTATCCACTGCGCCATCACCACCCATGCCAACAGTTTGGCTAATGGACTATATTACTTGGTGAAAGCTTAGTGTATCCTTGCGTTGTGCCTAAGTACACCCTAATTCATTGTTTTAATTAGAGTGCCTACCTACTTGGCAGTCTCAAACATGGCCTTATGTCACATTTAGAATGAAAATTTCAAATAGAAATGACTCAGACACCATCAAGAGTTTACTGTGCGTATATTTGCCACATAGTGGCTGCCGTGAGTGTGTCATCATGTTCTCTCAGTACTGCAGTGACCTTGGCTTTACCCACATTTGCAGCTTTCAGTATGCACTACTCAACCTTGTAATGACAAAACACACCATGCGTCATACTGTTCTCAACTGGGCTACTCTGTGTGAGAATAACCATATGCCAGTCCAGTTGCCTAATCATCAAACCAGAAATCAGTTTTCACTTTATCAGCTTAAGCTCAGTTTCACTATTGTTGTTCTCTATTAATGGAACACAGGAAATCTGCGGTTATGGAAATCCAGGAAGTATAAGGGGAACTTTAAAATTGTAATGTCCAGGCCTTGAAAAGTCCAGATTTCATATACGCATAATCTGATACACAACTGTTCAAAATTTGACTCGGTAAGAATTTTTTTTTACTTTTATTAGCAATGACACGTTAGATTGATTAAAAAGAGCCAGTAAATGCTTATCACCAAATTCTTATCTTTTGAACTATTCATCAAAGAATCCTGAAAAAAGATTCTCGGTTTTTACAAAAATATTAAGCAGCACAATAGTTTTCAGCATTAAGAATAATGAGAAATGTTACTTGAGCACCAAATCAGCTTATTAAGGATCATTCTAAGAAAAATAAGAAAATTTAGAGTGATGTGTTATCAGAGGTATCTGTTTAATATTACTGTTTTACTATACATATTTTGCAGCCTTGTTAAACATTAGAGACTTCTTTCAAAAACATAAAAAAAAATCTTACTAGCCCTAAAAAAATATTAAACGCGTAAATGCTAGTGTATGATTTATTTATGGCCAGTTCTAAAATACTTAATTGGGTAGATAATTGCTCTTTTTTAGTGGAATCTGTATAAATTTTTTTTTTTTTTTTTAAGTATGTAACTTCATTTGTCAAAAGGTGTAGGTGCAATAAGTATAATATGCAACTGTTTTGCATATTATGATATTGCTTTAGCATCATATTTCAGTGCAGAACTGTTGTTGGCCCAGAGTCACTAAACATGCCTGTCTTAATATGCAACTATATGCAGCTACACCACCGATTAATAAAGACGTCTCAGTGGTTTTGACATCGCAAATTGACAGTGGAGGGGGAAAAGATAACGACGGGTAGAGTGAGACTGTGAGAGAACAGAACACGTTAAGAGCTAGAGAGTGTGTGAAGCTGGTGGAGACAGGCTGTGTGACAGATTGAGGCCACTGACTGTTCTCAGAGAGCAGCTGTGAGAAGTGGGAGTTCTCAGATCAACCAATTATGACTTACTGCAGTACCTTTGCTCAGCCCACACAACCATAGTCTGGCCTGTCTGGGTCTTTAAAACAAGGCACTGTTTTATGTAGGGATAAATGAGGGACCACAAAAACCAGTATTATAAGCAAAAAGAAAATCGCATTTGTTGGTCTCCATTTTATTATTATTATTATTATTTATTTATTTATTTATTTTTGCTTTTATATTAGAGTTAGATTATTTTAATATAGTGATAATTATACATTGAAATACTTTGAAGGCATCATGTGACCCATGTGATCAAGTGATCATGTGATCAAGTGGGCCCCGGCTCTGCAAGAAAGGGTAAGGATACATGCTGAGATTATTCAAACCCCTCTTTGCCTGGGATGGGTTCGACTTTGTATGGATTTTAATTAATCTGGAATGGATTGGACATGGTCAGCAATAATTCTCAGGTGCCATTGACTGTCATCTGACAACCAAAGTTCCAGTCTGGAGATATTCACCTCAGAAAAGAAAGCATACATTTTTGAGTTTCCTGGGCATCATGGTTTGTCTAGTTAACATACACGTTCTAAATTATGATGTTATCTAGTGCTTGTAGAGCTTTTGAACTTTGTGCCTGATCACTGCGGTACCATCATTTTACTTAAAGTGATTTGGTTAGTTGTTTAATCCTGAACCGTAGATGCCAGCTGCCACTGTTTTTGTGCTATTTCTGTCCTCCAGACTCTAGAATAGACCACGGAATCAAGACGATGCCTTAATGTACTGGACAGTTTGAAAACCAATTAATGAACAACTATTAAAAGTTTAAAAATTCAAGGAATGAAATGGAAAAGTGCAGCAATATGAACAAATATAACTGAAAGGGGAAAAGAGCTTGTGATACTTATTCTTGGATGTACTTTTGAACCTGAGCCCTGATCCTCCTTACAGAAAAATGTAAATTTGTGTGTATTTCTCTCCCCCAGGGACACAATGTGGCGTGTGTTCACAGGCGCTCTGTCCGTTGAGGAAAAGGAGAAGGGCAGTCAGGTGCTACAGGACCTGAGGGAGATCGAGTCATGGGTTTATCGGCTTCTGCATTCCCCAGTGCCTGTCGCCGGTCAGCGACGTGTTGACGTGGAAGTACTGCCCCACGAGCTGCAGCCTGGACTGACCTTTGCCCTTCCAGACCCGTCCCGCTTCAGCATTGTTGACTTCCCTCTCCATCTGCCCCTGGAGCTGCTGGGAGTTGATGCATGTCTGCAGGTCCTGGCCTGCATTCTGCTGGAACACAAGGTACGGATGGCCAGAGGAACACAACTTAACTATTTCAGATGATATAGGCCCATATATTACCATATTTGTGTACTATTTTCATGGCGCTATAAGATACATCAAAAAAACATGGTACCACCATGGTAAATGTCCAGAAATACCATGATACTTAACGCATGCACCACATAGCGGTACCTTATTAGTTAATGGCCGATATTAGTTTGTTTGTTTTTTCAATATATATATCATTATTAGTCAATATTGGATATTTAATTGTTTATGCTAATTTCCCCTATTTTTACATTTTTTTTTACCTTTGTTTGCACTAGTACTTTACACTTAAATATAAGAATTTTGTATTCATATTGTTATGTAATATTATTATACTACTCAAAATTAATCTTCAATGTATCTAGACATACTTGTATTTTATTTTGCAGAATTGTATATAAAATTGTAATATTGACCATTATATTATATCTTGTTATAATCATAGCATGAAAATGATTATCAGCCAGATCCTAATATATTCCAGTGGTTCCCAAACCTAGCGGTATGTGTGGTATGCAAACAAAATGCTGAGTTTTGCCATTCATTTAATTCTACCCCCACCATAAAATAACATTAAAACCGAGCATGTATTTCTAACTGGCAAAATGCCATAAAAGGTCAAGTACATGACATCCAATCAAATTACCTCCATATTTTGCTGTCAAAACTGCATCATATGCGCATTGCTTGTGAGGATGCAGACAGAGTAAGCTGCCTTAGCTAACTGCACTACAATGCACCTTTGTAAAAGTGGGGTTTTTAGCACAGGCACAGGCTATGCATAGAGATTCATTTTAAGACTCAAACTCTCTTCAATACAAAAACATACTCTGTGTGAGTCCTTGTTTGCAAATGTGATTTTATACAGCAGTTCAACAAACAGAGGGGTAATATTAAGTTAAGTACATTTTAGCAACAGCGGTGTTTCGTGGAAGGATCAGCGGCTTTGAACGAATCGTTAGAGTCAATGGTTCATTGACCCATTTATAAATACATGCATTTGGTTCGTTACTGAATGAATGAAAGACCCGATGACTCATTAAGACAGTGACCTACGCCACCTACTGGGGTTTTAAGTTTAATATTTAAATGTATCGCTTTGTTTTTACCATCATTGCATATCTCTCTATTAAACATTTTTTAATTTAAAATTTTCTTTATTTTATTAGGGTATTTGTAAAGGTACAGTAACAATGCACAGGAAAATTAATTTAAAGGTGCAGTAAGCATATTATGGAAAACGCTGTTAAAAAGTGGATCAGACCGAGCACCTAAACACACTTGTAGCCAATCAGAAAAATTAGTATGATTAATGACTTATGACTTGCAGTATTGACCTGGTGCATTGCTATTTTAAACTCATATAGGGGTAGTGTAATTCTGAATTTTCTGAGCTTGTTGTATTTTTGCCACTTAATGTCTCAAAAATATCTTTTAAGTTTTGTTTAATATGATAGTTGTGCATGCATAGTGAGAGAGGTACTGATGTAAATATTTTTAAAATCTTTTATGTTGTATTTACCAAGAGTATTGGACGGGAGTACACTTGAGAGAGCAAGCTTTTGAAATAAATACTATTGCTGTGTCATTGGTCAGGTTAATGGTTGTCTGTAGATCTGCTGTTTCATGTGGATCTAGTCTTCAATTTGTCAATGTGGGTCACACTGATAGTGACAAGGGGACTTCCTCTCACCCTCTGCTGTCTGTAGGTGGTACTGCAGTCCCGAGATTATAACGCCCTCTCCATGAGCGTCATGGCGTTTGTTGCAATGATTTACCCCCTTGAGTACATGTTTCCTGTCATTCCTCTGTTACCCACCTGCATGGCCTCCGCAGAACAGGTAACATGACATCATTTTTGTGCAGTTGGTGTATAAACAATGAGGCTCTCCTTCAATGTTCCCTCTATTTTTTTTCTATCTCAAAACTTTTTTCTATTGGGCGGACATTTTTCGCCACCAGAGCAAAAATATTCTTTATACCTGACCTGTACATCATATGTAGAAACACAATGGTTTAAACATTCAGTTGTAACTTTTAAACGTGAATGTGCCATTTCTATTTTATTTGACCCTTTGATGTAACTTATTGGTCTTAAATCATATTTTTGAAAAACAAGCAGTTAATTAAGAAGTCACCAAATGAAGCATATTTAGGGTACTGATATTTTTTTTCAAGTGCTGGTAACTGTACAGTCTTTACCAAGAAATCCTATGAAAAATAATTTACAAAATCGTCTACAGGACAGTTAAATTCTTTGCAACTATACTCAACTGTTACACTGAGATCTTTTGGGAAAAACATAAAGTGTTTTTAGTACAGTCAATTAATTGTGTACAGGAAGCATTAAACCATCAATTTAAAATGATTATTTATTGCTTATGAATTTCCAATAATTTCTTTAGCAGGTTGTTTCAAACCTTTGACAATGGCAACGAGCAGGTTCCTATGAAACCTGTAAACTGCATTCACCAGTTTCACTCTATAGCGGAGCACTGAAATTATTTCTCACTTAAACTATAATCAAATAGATTACCCCACACATTTCACGTCAGTCCTCTCCGTGGCATTTTATTCTTTTCTGTGCATCCGTGGCGCAGTTTAGAGGGAACATTGCTCTCCTTATATCTGTCAAACACATCTCTTTTTTTTCTAGCTCCTGCTAGCACCTACTCCATATGTCATTGGGGTGCCTGCCAGTTTCTTCCTGTACAAGACTGATTTTAAGATGCCAGATGACGTTTGGTTAGTGGATCTGGACTGCAACAAGGTACATTGTCTATTTACACGATCTGTAACTAACTACCCAGACATGGGTTTATGGATTCTAACATGTTTATAGATTGTGTATATATAGCGGTCTTATGTTGGTTGCATATCTTTATCCCTGCAGGTCATTGCTCCAAGCAATGCAGAATTGCTCCCTCCCCTTCCGGAACCCGAGGCCTCTGAGCTGAAGAAACACTTGAAGCAGGTAAACCGACCCGATGGTCTCGTCTCTCTAAGGAGCCCTACCATTAACTGTGAATCTGAAGTGAACACTAACTAGATTCTAGAAGCAATGCATAGTAATGATACTGTCATCAAGCAGCTGCTGTAAACATGATTAATTATAATAGTGCAATTAAACCAAAGAGAAGGCTGACAATGCACAGATATTTTTAAACTATCATTTGAAGCCAAGTGCAGACAATACATTTTCTGATGTTCCTATAGTTTGTTGACCAATTCATCTTTTAGTTGATCACTTATGTATTGTAATGACTGTATATTCTCCCCCTTTTTTGTTCCAGCTCTTGGAGGTAATAAGTTTTGAGTTTCCCCATCTATAGACTCGATAATGGTTCTAGTTCTCTCGCTTAACCCTTTACAATCCCACATAGACCCTTATCTAGAGCTTCTGACCTGATTCTGGGCACCTCTGAGCTTAATCAAACTCCATTAACATTTCACTGTCTTGTCATCAACCATTGTGATACACTGACAAACTGTCCTTCCTCATGTCTCTTTAATAGAGACGCATTTAATTTAACCACAATCTGTTGTCTTTGTGTTTGTTAGTCTGCAGTTGAATTTCTCAGCCAAATTGATTCACCATTTTATTTCATCTTGCATCAAACATAATTATCATGCTGTCATTGTAATATCTCAAGCCAAAATAGTCAATACACTGACTCATCAGTTGCGTCTCACAGATCGTGAGTCATGAGTCTTCATTCGCCATTATGAATCACCATTAACCAGGTCCTCATTTTCAGATCATGATGGTTTTAAAACCTGATTTAGATTGAAGGTCATTTTTTTCAGTGGTTTAGAGGCGTACAGTAGTGCCCTGCCATGTCAAAGACAGTGGTTCAAGAACTCTATGAGCCAATAGGGAAATGTACATTTTTCTTGTCACCGTCATTCGGTGCTATTTCTCACTCAATCGAGCTTCAGATTTTAGGGAAATTTTTATTTAACATCCTTAACATCAACATGAAATCAAAATTCACTCTGTTCACTTGAGGTTGGGGTGACATCGCCCAAGAAGAGAGTATCCTGTTTTTCTTTTTGGTCATTGAAAATCCTGTTTCACTCCTAAAAAAAACCCTTCATCACATTAATGAAGTTAAAGTAAAATAGGTTGAGAATGCCATTTTATTTTGACTAGCACCTACCAAATATGGTTTTTAAGTTTTGTACACATTCTCCATTGACAAGTTTGTTTGAGATCTGCTTCCCTTTCCACCTCATTACTCGCTGGTTTTCTTCAGATTGTTGTTGTTTTTTTCTTTCTGTGTGCACTCATACTGTCTAGTTAATGGTCGTGTTGTGTCTTCAAGTGTTCTTTATTTGTCTCTCTGTGTTTTTTCTCCTTCCTTGAATTTTTTTCCGCTCACTTTTAGTCACATGATTTCCTAAACTTTCTCAGTGACAGGTAGTCATGTGACATTGCCTCCATGTTTTCTTGTGTCCTTCAGTGTCTGGTAAGGTTGACTGTGATCACCCAAAAGCAGATCTTCGCCTCTGATTCCAAGGTTCACAAATCTTTGCATTTTGAATGTGCACGGAAAAATAACTCCTGTCTCTCCCCCTGTCATCAACACTCGTAGACCTGTACGCATACACTCTCAGTAACCTTAACAAATATTGAAGCCATACAGATACTACTTTATTCCACACCCTTTGAATAAACACACTCAGAAACTCACACACTTGTGACTGTGTTTGCCTCCATAGCCTCTAACTCTGTGCACTCTTCCTCCACTTCTCTCTGTGTGATGAAGGTCTTACAGCAGCCCCCGTTTCCTATAACACTATGTTTGGCTTGAGCATGTTCCAATGCAACTTCTCACTTACATTATGCTCATTAACCCAAAGCAAATAAAAAAGTAGCAGGAGCAGATGATGCGATTGGTTCGGTCAAATGGCGTGGCAAATGCCAGCTGATGGAATGCCAGCTGAGAGGCATTGAGTGAGCGATGGCAGAATTCCCAGAGTGCTTTGTTAATGGCTCTATGTGATGACCGCACCCTTCCCTTACCATTTTGACTATTTGATTACATTTTTTTTATGCAGTACAGTCGTTTCAGGCAATTGCTTTCTCTCATCCCTCTGTAACTTTTTCAGAACTTTAAAGGATTAGTTCACCCAAAAATGAAAGTTCTGTCATCAGTTACTCACTCTCATGTCATTGCAAACTTTAAAGACTTTCATCCATATTCAGAACACGAATAAAGACATTTTCAATTAAAATGTTTCTGCCCCTCCCTTAAAGGGGTGATGAACTGAGAAATCAAATTTTCCTTGAGCTTTTGACATCTAAGAGGTCATCATATTATAAGAATATCCTGTAAGTTTCAGAACTGAGAACATCCTTGTTAGTCCAATTAAAGCTTTTATTGACACCAGCCTCAGCAAACGACTCATTTTTCAAAGTGGGGAACTATGGCGTCAAAGAGGATAAAACACAACCCCCGCAGAACAAGATCAACGCCTACTTCAACATGGCCGGTTTAGCCCCGCCCAACGATTTGCGCATTACACGCATAGCTATATAACATAGATGCCTACCTCGTGATGACAAACCGGGTCGAGAGTGAAACTCATTATAATATGAAAAACTGTTATCCACTCACAGCAGTGGGCGTTTACTTCCAAGTCTTCAGTGCGAGACACCCATAAAAACCTAGCTTTTTTGAGCTGGGCTCAAAACTAGGGTAGAAAATAGCCTATTACTTATTCATTTTGATGGTTTTTTATGTTAAAACCAAGCGAACGTCATAAGTTCACCTCAGACAACAATATAAAATTTTTTAAAAATGCCAGTTCATGACCCCTTTAATTTCACCAAAACGTTGACGCTTCAGTGTCATAAGACGTTGGAAAAGTAATCCATATGAATATTCAGAAGAGACACGATCGTGTTATATAATGAAGAGATTTCATTTAGGCTTTTACTCATATACATGCATAACATTGATCAATGCACATACATAGAGCACACAAAATATGGTAAACCAAAGCTCAAATGTGCTTGTTTGACATGTGAGAACCCATGAGTTTTTTTTCACATTTGAGCTTCTGTTAGAACCAGTGAGGTGCATTTTTATCGTTTCAAGCTCCATATTTGATGTGCTCTATGTATGTGCGTTTATCAGTGTGTGTGTGTGTGTGTGTGTGTGTGTGTGTATGTAAATAAATAGCCTAAATTAAATAGATATTAAAAGATACTGGGTTTGGAAGTATGTAAATTATGACAGAATATTATTTTTTGGGTGAACTATCCCTTTAATTTAATTTTGTGAAATCTTATTTAAATAAAAAATGTTTCACCTTTGCCATTCAGAAGATTTGTAGGCAGAAGTTAAGTAATGTTGGCCTGCAATGTGAGGCATGATTGCCTGAGCGATAGTGCTCTTACTTCAATCTCCCTGTCAGGATTCATTGTTAAATTGATCTCTCCTGTATCCATATTCCTCCTCCACCACTCTTTCTCTCTCTCGCTCTCTCATCAATTCCTCCATACAGGCTCTGGCTAGCATGAGTCTGAACACACAGCCTATACTGAATCTGGAGAAGTTTTCAGGATGGACATGAGATGTCTTTTGTTGCCCCCTGGTCGTGACAAAAGCCTCCCCCTCCTCCACTGAGTTCAACCCGCTCATCTACGGCAATGATGTGGACTCAGTTGATGTTGCCAAACAAGGTAACGAATTATTCTATACTCTATCTAAGGGATAGGATTGACCGAAGTTTCTATGTTACTACTGTGCAATTTTAGTGCCGTTTTAGGTACCAAATG